AAAGGTAGATCACCACACAAGGGATGTGGAAGACAAACCGTATTTCTAGATAAAGGTAAATCACCACACAAGGGATGTGGAAGACAAACCGTATTTCTAGATAAAGGTAGATCACCACACAAGGGATGTGGAAGACAAACCGTATTTCTAGATAAAGGTAGATCACCACACAAGGGATGTGGAAGACAAACCGTATTTCTAGATAAAGGTAGATCACCACACAAGGGATGTGGGGACTTATGGTGAAGACAAACCGTATTTCTAGATAAAGGTAGATCACCACACAAGGGATGTGGAAGACAAACCGTATTTCTAGATAAAGGTAGATCACCACACAAGGGATGTGGAAGACAAACCGTATTTCTAGATAAAGGTAGATCACCACACAAGGGATGTGGAAGACAAACCGTATTTCTAGATAAAGGTAGATCACCACACAAGGGATGTGGAAGACAAACCGTATTTCTAGATAAAGGTAGATCACCACACAAGGGATGTGGAAGACAAACCGTATTTCTGGATGAAGTATAAACTGACTACGTCAATAGTTACAGTATACCGTAACTGAATCCACAGAAGCAGTATAAAGTAACTTTATCAATAGATACAGTATAAACCAACTGTATGAATATAACTGTATAGTATAAACTGACCGTTTTAAAGCAACATTGAACTAAATGTATCCACAATCACAGTAAATTAACTGTATTCCTCATTTGAATAAACAAAACAGCAAAGTACAAAAAGCTACTGGTCTGATACGTCTTGAATTATATCTATTGATGTAGTTTGATCAGACTGCTGTTGACATGATAACAGTTAATGGGTAGTAAAACAGACAGTATTACAGTGAGTTGAGAAACAGACACTCAGCAGACAGCGTAGTACTAATGAAGAGAAATAGAATAATTTAGTAAAAATGGAAAATGTACAGACCTGTCTGAACGCAGTTGATAACGACTCTGACTTTGGCAATATTCAGTTCATGTCTTTTTAGCCTGTGTTATAGCTCCGCCCTTGGTCGAAACAGGTTTCTTGGATTGGTTGGTGAGGGTGCAGAGGAGGGATATTCCCACCCTGCAAACTGCTATTTAGAATCGTTTCTGTTTTGTCGGACTTGATATTGCTTGTTGGATGTCTGGACAAAGGTGGGGTAAATCTAATGAGAACTTTCTGTAATATGCTGGACTTCCAACACCAAGAAAACGCGCAGTAAAAGATAACTGACAAGATATTGATGTTATATAAGAAATACCTGTGTTTGCGTGCGCGTTCGTGTGTGTTTGTGTCTGTGTGTGTGTGTCCTGTATCAAATAGATGTCATTGCATCGCATTGCTTAGATCGATGCTCATGCTGTTGATCACTGGATTGACAGGTCCCAACTCGATTATTTACAGACCACCGCCAAAAGCTGGACCATTGCTGAGTTTGTCGTTAAAACAACATACAAAGAACCTGAACCAGTTATAACAAATAACTACATCCTTCTGCTAATAACGCTTAACGACCCGTTGCCTCGACATCCACACCTTTAAAATGCCTAGGATACATTATTAAAAATACTTTCAAGACATTTACTTGGCCCACTTCAGTTTGCTTACAGAGCCAGGAGAGTGAGTGAGTGAATGAATATGGTTTTGCGCCTTTTTGTTTAGCAATTAGCAATATTCTATCAATATCACGATGGGGCATACCAAAAATGGGCTTCACACATTGCACCTATGCATGGGGAATCGAAACTGGGTCTTCGATGTGACGAGCCAACGCTTTAACCACTAGGCTACCCCACCGCCTCCAGAGCCGGGAGGGGAGTAGAGGGCACTTTTGAACAATATCTACAGACATTTTGCGAATGTTGTTTGTTGACTTCTCCTCTACTTTTACCATAATACTCTCCCATCTTCTTATGTAGAGGGGCGGTGGGGTAGCCTAGTGGTTAAAGCGTTGGCTCGTCACGCCGAAGACCCGGGTTCGAATCCCCACATGGGTACAATGTGTGAAGCCCATTTCTGGTGTCCCCCGCCGTGATGTTGCTGGAATATTGCTAAAAGCGGCGTAAAACCAAACTCAGTCAGTCAGTCTTATGTAGCTGATATATAAAATATCAGTTAATTCAACTCTTAATACAGATTCTCTTCTTGTAAACAAATCAATTCAAATCAAATCATTTCTTTCTTTAACAGCTGTGTTTAATTCCCCAAGGCAACGAGTTTTCTCCTGTTCTATTCATATATTATATAAATGATAGTATCAGACTGAATAGTTTTAACACGTGTTCGGCTAGCTGTTTGATAGGCAATCTAGAAGCTGGTGAGTAGATAATGAAACATTCGATTTGATGGCTAAGAGCTTAATGCAAGGTTTGGTAGATAGATCCTGACATCATCATGGAGCTAACAGTGAAGGACACACTGTGGTATAGGTATGATATATACATTACTTTTAAACACTATTCATGTCGTCACAATGATGGAGTATTATTTTCCAATATTTTATCTGCGTGTTTTTAAACAGTATCTTATGTTGCTGTGTTTAGTGCTAAGCAACTGTGCAATATGATTTTTTCTTGAGACAATGACATCTACAGTGATGTAGAAGTATTCGATCCCGACAGCATCCAGCAATGCTAACAATTTCTATGCACAACTGAGCATCTTTGGCGACAATGCCAGGCCGGTGCAGTTGGTGATGATTTTTTACGTCATGAATCTGTAGCAACTTACTTTGGTCCACCAAACGCCCAGATCTCAGTCTCATGGAGCATGTTTGGGACATTATGGGTCGCTATATACGCCAGGGAGATCCCCCAGGACAAACTCATGATGTACTGGAATAAGTCCTTCATTAAGAATGGTACGCAATACCTCAACGTCAAATTCATGTGATACAGTCAGTGAGGAGAAGGGTAAAGGATGTTATTTCAGCTGGCGGATTACATCAGATATTGACACTGCGTTCGGTTAATAGTGATTGTTTGAGGATCGTATGCCAGAAACTTGACTGCACTTGTTAAAGTCATACGACCATCATTTTCAGCACTACAAAATGAATCACCAGTTTTCTTGAACGGTTGCTTCTCTAAATAAACTACAGAATTTTGTTCCTGTTGCGCTAGAATTTGCAATTTAACTATTCCCTGTGGCTAAGTGGATCAAAGAAACGTTCTTATGCTATGGGTTATCGCATGCTTGTCTTTTGTTACATGGGTGTTCTGAACTATTTTACTACATGTTGTTCTGTTACAAGGGTGTTTTGTACTATATATAAATATTACTGCATGGTTGCCTGTTACAAGGGTGTTTTGTACTATATATAAATATTACTGCATGGTTGCCTGTTACAAGGGTGTTTTGTACTATATATTACTGCATGGTTGCCTGTTACAAGGGTGTTTTGTACTACATTGCTGCATGGTTGCCTGTTAAAGGGTGTTTTGTACTATATATTACTGCATGGTTGCCTGTTACAAGGGTGTTTTGTACTATATTACTGCATGGTTGCCTGTTAAAGGGTGTTTTGTACTATATATTACTGCATGGTTGCCTGTTACAAGGGTGTTTTGTACTATATTACTGCATGGTTGCCTGTTAAAGGGTGTTTTGTACTATATATTACTGCATGGTTGCCTGTTACAAGTGTGTTTTGTACTATATATTACTGTATGGTTGCCTGTTAAAGGGTGTTTTGTACTATATATTACTGCATGGTTGTCTGTTACAAGGGTCTTTTGTACTATATATTACTGCATGGTTGCCTGTTACAAGGGTGTTTTTTTCTATATATTACTGTATGGTTGCCTGTTAAAGGGTGTTTTGTACTATATATTACTGCATGGTTGTCTGTTACAAGGGTCTTTTGTACTATATATTACTGCATGGTTGCCTGTTACAAGGGTATTACTGCATGGTTGTCTGTTACAAGGGTCTTTTGTACTATATTTTTCTTTATATATATTACTGTATGGTTGCCTGTTACAAGGGTGTTTTGTACTATATATTACTGCATGGTTGCCTGTTACAAGGGTGTTTTGTACTACATATTACTGTATGGTTGCCTGTTACAAGGGTGTTTTGTACTATATTACTGCATGGTTGCCTGTTACAAGGGTCTTTTGTACTATATATTACTGTATGGTTGTCTAGGGTTCTGCATGCTTTTCTGTATTTGAATTGAAGGGGCTTTTCTCTCTCGGATGGTATTGGTGAGGGTGATATAGAGTAGATATGGTTGCTGAGGTGTGTATCGTCATGGTGTGTATCGTCATTCTCCAGACACCCAAAACGTTAATAAGGTAAAAAGCGTTGTATAGTTGGGTACAATGTGTACCCTCACACCAAACATCACCATCTTACAACCTTTTCTACATTTTGGATCCATTTGTGTCTATTCTTCATGTATGTTCAAATGTAGCATTTACCCGTTCAGTCCCTTAATGTATTCGTGAAGAAATAGGAAAGATATACACACAGGGTATCACACTCATACATTTGCACGTTTTAAGGGTTAAAGTGACAAGGCAATATTTTGGAAAAGTTTCTTCACGCATCGTTCCTAAGAATAGGATGTACTGTCACGCAGGGTGGAACTTTCTTTGTTAAGCAGGTCGTTAGGATCACGATGATGTGCCCAGATCAACACTGGAGCACGTATTCAGTCAATTTCTTTCACACAAATGTCTTGTTTGATGGTGTAAAGAAGCACAACATTTCATGGTTTCCATCATGGTAGTTATCTGGTATGTATCATATATCTGAAGTAGTTTTAACAGAAATACCTCTCTCATTGACTGTCTCACGAACTCACTTGGATTCTAAACGAATGTCAACTGAGTGTAACTGTACAAGATATTCCTTGATTCAGGTTTCAAATTCATCAAATGCTCCATATTGCAAACAAATCGGGAACTGTGTCCGGTGTAGAGCCTCACTTTGATTGACAGTTTGAGCTCGCTGACGAACGTTTAAGTGAACGGGTTTGCTGCAAGAAACTTCATCAACAACTGACCTAGCTTTGCAGTTGCACGGTTGAAGAACGAAGGTAAGCTGGCAAGCTTCGATGTGAAGCTGTACTAAATGATAATTAGCATACAGACAGTCCAATGTTACTGATGTTTGTTGTGTGGTAAATGTTATTCGATAAGTGCATAAGATGGAGTTAATACATGGTTTAACATGTTCCTGTTTGGGAGAAGTGTGTGCTAATGTACGTATATGTAGTACTCATTGTCATTCGTTACACAGGGGCTTGTAACGCTGAAAACTGCCATCAAGGTATATACTGTCACTGACGGGGTCTTAGTACTACATAAACGTCAGTGACAGTATATAACTTGATTTGCAGTTTTATTATGGTCTTCTCTGTACACAGATGATGTACAGAACATTGTTGTGTCTCGCCCTGTTCGTGGGCTCTGTGTCGGCCTGGGGAAGCTGGTTCGGCAAGAACAGGGAGACAGAATGCGGTTCCTTCCGAAACAAAAGGAAGGGCAGGTGGGTATAACACTGTTTCAATCTTTAAAATCTCGACCTCATTTTAAGTAGGTAAACATTCATATTTCCGATAGATATTGAGCACTACACATTTGTAATTTTGCGTGAAGTTAAAGGTCACATGCAACGTAAAACACAACTTTGCAGATTCTGATACCTTTCGGCATGGACTTACCGAAACAAATCGTCAAAAATGCAAATTCAACATATAAAGTTAAAAAATAACGCGATGAAAAAAAACGCGCGAAATCGGAGTTCAAGCGTTTCACTAATTTTCCCCCGACTTTTCTGGGGAAAACGGGTTTCAACAGCTGGGCTGCGCTCATAGCACGTGCGCAGTGAAATAGGTTCGCGCAACTTGGAAGCGGGTTGTCGGGTGAATACTCGGTGAAGGCTTTGGTGTGAGCTATTTTTCTAATGTTTTGTTGATATCTGACAGGCGCGAGCTTTTTATATGTTATGACAGTAAATTAACTGTTTATATAATTTCATTTGTCTATTTCACCACACGTTCTTCTTACCGAGTCACTTTCTCAGTTAGATACTTAAAAGCAATGTCATTATTTAGCGTTGTACAGAATTTCTAACTGTGATATAGATATGTCGTTGTCACAGACAAAACTCAATGTCTTGTTTTATTGACACCTGTGTGTCTGCCTGCCTGTCTGACAATATTCAATACACAGCTGCTATCACTGACCACATGCAATTTGAACTTAACACCAATCAGGCTATACACCATAAACAAAATGCATTGATTTATGGCCCGAGTTCGGTCTCTGTCATATTATGTAATTACACAGACAGGCAGGTGTGATACTTGAACACATGACATGTTACGATGTCTGTTGATTGCAAAATGTTATACACAAAAAATGAGCCTGTATTTACAAAACCCAACATCTCTATATATACACACACAATGAACCGTGAAGGCATCTGCAAATGAACCAGCCGTTACACTTGAGTGCACACCCACCCGCTCTGACTGGGTTCGGTATCCCGGCTGCTTCGTTTCTTGGGAAGTAAACCGAAGTACACTATTTTGCACTTTTGATTTGCGATTGTACGCTTATAATTTTGTTTATATGTTTTTTTTCATTACCAGCAATGTATATTATATGTCATGAATAAGTGATAATTGTGTTTTAATTATGTTTGATTTTTGGGTTGCATGTGACCTTTAACATTATTTGATGTGACCCTGATTCCCTGTTTCTGTATTTTCGCAGGTACTACACTGATGTTGACAGGCATCAAGTTCTGGATGACCTCAAAGCTTTCGACACCAACAAAGATGGCTACCTCACTTTCGCCGAAAAGAACAACCTAGAAGTTGCATCCACCTTCGACAGTTCCCTGAATCGTAAGTAATTGTCTTCATTTTTGATAAATAATGTTCCTTCCCAAACAAAATACACCCGTGTTCAACAACGATTCCCTGCTACGTTGGCTTGAGATAGGACTGAGAACATAGTGGAAATACATTATAGTGTTTGGTTTTACTCAAGAAGCATTGTAGGAAATCCTTCCAATCCCTGAATAATATAAAGTCTTGTGGTGCCAACTGCCAATTTCCGACGTGCAGAATTGCCCCCCTTTGCTTTTCAAGGATATGCGATCATATGTTTACATTCGACAATCAATTTGACGAGGATCCATGACATAATCTACAATTGAATACGAGTGGCAAATGTGTAACTTATCCATCACATAAATGCTAAACGCAGTAACATACACAAGTGGTGACGTCAGTTTCCCCCTTTTTTTATGAACAATATATCCCAATTCCTGTACACGTTAACAGATGGACGCGCGTTAAATAATTAAATATCAGTGAGGACTTGATATGCTGTTAGAAGATAACAACATATGCTTCCAATTCACTGTACATGTTTTCCCATGTTGCTCCTATTTACTGTACATGCTTTGATTTGTCTTCCTGTCACTGAGTGGCTTCCAATCAATGTATATCCAATCACGTATATCCTTTTCGTTGTATAAACGCTCTACACACACCAATCTATAGTATCTCTATACCAATCTATTGCATAAACATATCACTTAATCTCTTTGAACTCTGTACATCTCAGTCAAAACATATCACTTAATCTCCTTGATCTCTATACATCTCAGCCATTAATTCCATCATCACTGGCCTCCTGTACGTACTATATATGTTGCTTGTGGTCATATTCTGCCATTCACCTGATGAAGGAGTAAGAAGTAGCCCAGAAACGTTGTGTTGTAAGAAGAACTCAGAAGTTGTAAATCCATACCATACGTTGTTATGTTACCTTCCAACTTCTAAATGTCCATCAAGCATCTGAACTGTTAATAGATGTCAGTGAATCATGAATAATATAAACTTTCTACAAGTTGATCTATGTTGCAACTAGAAAAAATTAAAACTATCGAAAATTTACATGATACCATTACATGCGATTATATGCACCTTCATAGCGGTCTTTCCGTGTGCAGCTAATGTTAGAGTCATTCGTTGCCCCTTAGTTCTTATCTTGGGCAATTAACGAGGGAGTCGGTCGTTGCAGCTTCATATCGTAATTATTATCTCGTATGGTTAACACTGTGGTCGGTCGTGTGCTGTGCCTTATGTCTTTGTGTGTGTTCATATGCATATATCTTTTGCAGTGAATACTGGAATCGATCGTTGCACCTTCGTGATGTTTGAGATGAAGCGGTATGGCATCAGCATGGGGGTCGCAGGACGCCTCTTCGACTTAGAAGACGTCAACAATGACCTCATCATCAGCACTGCGGACCAGGATGTGGCTACCTTCAACCTGCTTGATAAGGATGGTAGGTAGTGAATCAAGGACATATGATAGTTTACCATAGATTTGGTTGTAGGACTCCGTACTTTTCGTTGTATTGTTCGAGGACAACAACGATGCCTAATATAAGTGTCATAGTTCTCTACGTAGACGTGAATGCTAAAGGCGTGTAATAAATCAATGATTATGTGTTTTAACCCCAGCACCATATCCCTGCTCTTTTAATTCGTGAAACAGATAAGTGACAGATACCCTCATCACTTCAGTATTTTCTCTTATATCAAGATGAAGCTCTGTTGTAGAACTGGAAAACTGATAAATGTGTTTACCAAACGCATCCACGTGATGTTTTTGTTGGTAATTTTCAAGTCCCCGTTTTGCAAATATTTAGAAGTGTTTTCATAAAAAAACCTTTTCTGGCAGTAATTGTTTCTAATTATAACAAGCCTCATCAGTGGAAATTGTAATGAAACACAAAAAATCACGAGTTTGTTCCAAACTCACCCAAACAAATATTATTCGTTTGTTAAACATTTCATTTGTTTGCGTCCTTGTTTTTTTTTGCTTGCTGAATAAAAAACCCAGAACGCCTTCAGTTCCACCAGTTAGACCTAGTCCCCAAGCAAATAAAATGATGTTTTGAAAACAAGATTAGTGGCATCACCAGGTAAGGAATAATCATTAGTTATTGTCTTCAGGTGATGGTCGAGTTCCTGTGTGTGACGTTTTCAAGGCCTTCATGGCCAGGCTGGCAGATTTGGAACACAAGGTCAAAGCTGAAGAGGTAATTCATGATGGAAATATATAACTCAGATGGGGAGTTGTAACTATGAACTGACTGCTTGACGATAACACATTCACTGGTTGCGAACACACAGCTAGGATTCGCGTCTTTATGCGGGTCTACTACAGTCCAATCTCCATCAAAGTGAGACTTCAGGAATGTCATATTTATAAACGTTAATGATGGCTTGTTCAGACTGGAATACTGAAGTTATGAATCCGTAACAATGAAGATTTAATCTGTTCCGCCCCGGCCGTTCCGTATGAATATAGTAAACTTAAACTCGACTTAACCGTGTTCATTACCCCATTTTGTAACAGTGACTTTCTGTTTTCGCAGGAGAAGTACAGGGATCTCGTCTTCAAGTTCAGGAAACCCTCTAGCTGGTGGTCCGGCTGGTGGTCCTCCTAAGCGATGGCAACGGTGGTTTCCTGACCACAAGATCGACGAACGTGAAGCTTTCTGAATAAAATGCTACTTGCTCATCTGGTGTGTTGTTTGGCCAAGTCATAAAGTTAAATAATGGCGACAGCGTTATTAAACAACAACAACAACTGAACAAAACAGACAACATGAATAGCCAACAAGCTGCGTGTTATCTTGAGTCGAATTCTGCCTACGCGTGGTCCTATATGATACAAACAGATACATTGTTAGTGAGCACTGACACGGTTAAACATGCATTAGGAGTATTTTAGATACTCAGCATTTATACAGTTAGCGTGCACGTGAAGAGTGTTCCATCTTTTGGGGAAGGTATTCGGTCCGATCCAGATAATATATACCTAGAGAGCATGATTTGACTGTGTGTATTTATCAACACCAAGTTAAAGCCCATGCACAACATATAAAACATACAATCCCTTATGTGCTTTTTGATGTGAAAGGGAGTTAACTCGTGTGAGTTTCGTCACACAGAGACTGTTCATGCGCGTAGATGGATTGGAACACTGATCCGTTGTGATAAGAGAGGTTTATTATTTACGGGTAAATGGGAAATGACAAAAAAACATGAGTGTAATCTGTCTCACAGAACCTAAATCATGGTGTTTGCCGTTTTGACTAGCCCCATCTGTAATTCTAAATCCCTAAATGAAGCAGGGTAAAATTGTCCTCCCATCTCCAATCTCACTTTCAATTCAAACAGAGTTCATTGTATGTTTCAAAATTGAAGTGTTTGGTGTAATAGTGGACTAACCATCAAACTCATGTTTTGGAGAAAATCGACATACTGAGTTTGCATTTGATTCAACATCAGAAGCGACTGATGTTAACATGTAAAGACGTTATTCTACTGATCTTATTAAACGGTTTCATTCCGTTCCAGACAAGACTGATTCTGATTCTGTATGGCGCTAGCAATGGCGTTCCTACTGGATACTCCACTGTAGCAGACGGGTTATCTATCATCTCTGTCGTCGCTGGAAGAAATCATACGAGTTATGATTATATAATGATTATGTTCTTTCAGACAAATATTACTTCAAGTCAACAATAACTTTCTGGATATGTTACAATATATTTATGACCTTTGGCAACACACACATAAAAAGGTCATTCTGAAATACTGTTACCAATACGTATCTTTGACATATGGTATTCCCAGAAATTATTGAGAAAGTTGTTTCGGCAAATAATTATATTATAATCCATGTATATAAACTATAGAAGTTTTGCATATGAGTATGTTGAGATATGATTCTCTGACAGTCCAAGTGTCTTTCAGTACTTTGTGAGACCTCCTTGCCCTACACTACACGACTGATTTCCTACAAGCGTTAGATCAAACCAATGTGTCATTAGGTGCCAACAGTAAAGAAACACGACCTTTAGATGAAGGAGATGTTTAGGTTGATCTCCAATCAAAATAAGAAGAATAATCTTAAAGATCAGGAGACCTTTCCAGGATGTACAGGTTTAGGTTGTGTGGAACGATTCCTCTGATTTCGGGTCAAACTGTATCCTCGAATACCTACTGGGCAGACTCACCCAGGGTTCATCTGGCATAGTAAACGCTTGGTAAAATGCAACATGCCTTGTTTCTTTATAAACTCCACATCCTCGTCATTGATTATGTTTGGCCTGTTGTGATGTCTGTCCCAACTATCTATGCCAGGTACCCTGTCAGAGTTGCATTTACTCAATGCTCTTCCTACTCTACCTTTACCGACAGCATGAATTGAAAGAAAAGCCTTTTCGCATGTTTGAATGGTTTGTCCTCCAAGAATAACGTGATATATTTCTGTCGCCTGCTTTTACTGGCATCCTCTACATATCTGCGTTTGGGTTTATGTGTCGGAACCTGTCAGGTATGATTTCTGCATATAAAAGTCTTTCGATCCATAAAATGCATTGAAAAATTGCTCTCGACTGACCCCTGTCACTCGCTCAAAACACTTGAGCGGCCATTTACAGTCTCCTCCAACAGTTTTGGCTAGTATGTTTCTTCCCCGAGCTATAGTGTAAGGTTAACCAGAGTTCCGGCGAGATTTTCTTTCATTCCAACCCGTCTTACCAGAGTTTACAGCTCTCCCTGTAAATAAAATTATTTACTTCCTGTGACATGCTGGCTATGACTCAAATACCATGCAGGGATTAACCTAAACATTACCTGAGGATATGTCGTATACCATGTAGGGATTAACCCAAACATCACCTGAGGATAAGTCGAATACCATGTAGGGATGAGCGAAACATCACTTGAGGATATGTCGAATACCATGTAGGGATGAGCCAAACATCACCTGAGGATGAGTCCGATACCATGTAGGGATGAGCCAAACATCACATAAGGATAAGTCGAATACCATGTAGGGATGAGACAAACATCGCCTGAAGATATGTCGAATATCCAGTAGAGAAGAACCAATCGTCACCGGAGGATAAGTCGAACACCATGTTGGTATGGTCCAAACATCACTTGAGGATAAGTCGAATACCATATAGGGGTTAACCAAGCATCACCTGAGGATGAGTCGAATACCATGCTTGGATAAAACAGCAATCACTTGGGATGTTGAACCATGTCTGTAATTCAGCATGAATGTACCTTAATCTAGTCTAAAAGTTCAAATTAGCACACGTACCTTGTCCAGTGATAAGGAAACATTTAGTTATCTGGGCATATTCCATTTTTGTGTCTAACATTTGTACCATTTTACATTGTACATTCTTAACGATCGAGATAGCCTTAATTCACCCTTGTTACATAATACGTAATTTAGAGGTGGTTACTAGTTAGACGTCAATATCCTCAACATGGTTAGAAGTGTGTAGAAATAATCAGCATATCTCGATATTTATCAAAACAACAACAACTCACATCATCTTCAACAGCGACGGCTTCCAAAGTAAACCGATTTACATAAGTCTACAAGCCATTGCTAAAAGATCCAGCTGCGTTTTTGAAATCAAAATGTAATTCAGCTGATCATCTGACGTGCTATCGCATAACGGTCCACAATTGTGTGATTGCATTGTTCTGTGATTTCCTGAAGGCTCTTTGAGTTACTGGTCACAACCGCGTTAATTCCAGTAAACTCCTGTCTTTGAAAGGTGAAAACCTAATCACTTTACACAATTGTAAATGCATAGTTATACGTCATACACATTAGGTATTCCTCCAGCTTTTAATATGATAACATGTGTCAAGAGACAATCTGTTCCAACATTCCAACTGAGGGGCTTTCCAGCGTTGATGTGAAGAGTTGAACCCATTTCTGGTGTCCACTACCTTGATATTGCAAGAAAACTGCACATCAGCGCACATCAACTCGTACATTCCATCTTTTTCGTGGACATGTTTCTGTTGTGAACACAGTAAGATTATGAATATATTTAGATCCCGTTTAGTGTTAAGCATGGACAAAATAGGATAAATATGTGAACACCTTGTGGTTTCAGTGTATGGATGTCAATTTAATGTGAAATGTTTGTTTTGTCCAACTCGAAATTTGTTTGAAAAACTATTTGTAAAAACTGCATGTGAACGACATCATAAATGATACGTGTTGGGAAATCTGACATTCAGTTTTCAGACAAAGTCAAGAACCTCGGTGTCCTATTTGACCAGGCACTCTCCTGGGAAGCTAATATCAGTCAGACGATTAGGTCCTGTCACTATCAGCTACGAAGCATCGGGGCTATCAGACACCTTCTTCCCACAAATGCTGCCCATGCTCTGGTGCGCTCTTTGGTGTTATCACGGCTGGATTACCGCAACAGTCTCTTGGCCAACGTATCAAACGAGCAACTCCAAAGGTTGCAACGTGTTGACAACACAGCAGCCAGGATTGTGATGAGGTGCAAGAAATCGTCCCACATAACTGAACTCTGATCCAGCTTCACTGGCTTCCTGTTCATGCAAGAATTGAGTACAAGATACTGTCCTAAGCTTATCAATGCTATCACCATTCTGCTCCTGCCATTCTGTCAGAACTCACAAAACACTATGAACCATCACGACAACTACGATCTTCAGACCTTTGTCTCCTCTGTGTGCCAAAGCCAAAGCTTACATGGTTTGGGAAGAGATCCTTTTCCTTCAACGCAGCAACATTGTGGAATAAACTGCCTTGTGACTTGAAAAATATTGAAAATCTCTGCACATTCAAAAGGGCTTTAAAGACCTACCTGGTTAAACAGTTTTACAACACAGCCTAATCTAACCCCAAATTACAAACTTTGTAAAATACCAGTGGACTTTGTTAGCGCTATAAGCATTCACCTAGTGAATGGAGGTTAGCGCATTTTAAATGCACTTATTATTACAAGCAAAATCTAATAACGGAACATGAATCCGCCGATGATGGCCATCACTGACTGTGTCAGCAGGGAGTACACAAGGCTTGTTACTGACAACAGTTTTATTGACGTTTGTACATGACTGGTGGATGTGGTTTCGACTCATGGACACTTGATGTCCTCGGGTTTCAGCGCATCTACCTCGGCACACTGGACGCGGTCAACGGGGTTCTCCCTGTTCTTCGGGTCAGAGCAGTACTGGTCTTTGAAACGCTGCAGACAGGAGGAGAGTGTGTGAGTGAAAAGAGGTACATTGACAATGGGTGTCCTGTAAATCATTTGAATCATCATGAGGAGTATACACTTAAGCTGGGGGGTATTGGTGAGTGAGTATTTGTTTACACCGTTCTTAGCAATATTCCAGCAACATCACGGTGGGGAACACCAGAAATGGACTTAAAACATTGTACTCATGTGGACAATCAAACCCGGGCCTTCGGCGTGACGACCGAACGCTTTACCCAATTACTACTACAGCCTCCTTTATGAGAAAGTATTCACAGTGACCATTTGTAGTATTCGAAACTGTGAAGGTGGTGCATGTAGAACGTAACGATGGGTGTAATGTGTGTAGGGACCCGTGAATATCCGGGTTCGAACTGGTCTTCAGCAACCCTGTGAGAGGAGACTAACGGGACCGGGTGGTCAGGCTAGCTGACGTTGTTGACAAAGGCTTGTCATAACTATCGCTGTATTATAGAGAAAGTGTTAAAATGACAACGTAGACGTATATACATGTATATGAAGAGTTTATGAAACGTACACATGTTTTAAAGTTTTAAAGTATAAGATATAATTAAGTAGATTGAAAAGAGCCCCACAGACCCAAATTCACACCTAAATGCTTCATTAATTTTTAAAGTGTAATCTGTGTTTGTTGTCAATCTATATTTGACAACATACAGACAACATAGACCCTTATACAAATAGGGGCGGTTGGGGAAGCCAAGTGGTTAAAGCGTTCGCATGTCACACCGGATACCCAGGTTCGATTCCCCACATAGGTACACTGTGTGAAGCCCATTTCAGGTGTCCCCCGCCGTGATATTCAATGATATATGTTATTACTTACAGTGTATTGCATTGATAGGAAGCCGGCTCCTGGGAAAGCTGAAACACAGAAGATAAAATCGGCTCAATGTTGTTTCCAGTTGTTCAGTTATTCCATGGCGGTCCAAGAAAATAAACACGTATGTCATACACGGGATTAACATCTTGACATTTTATAAGCAAATGGATCTGTGAACAATGACTGCGACACACATCAATATTAAGTCTTTTGTTGACTTCCAGAAACATGCTTTTCAGTGTAATGTTGAAGCTTAGACATCAGGCAGAAAATCATATTTTCAATAGATTATTTCGATCACGAAATCATTAGGTGAATATGACCCTTTCAGTCAGTCTGTCAGTTGAGTTTATCGTTCCGAGGCTGCCAAACACGGTATTGTGAACAGATCTACTCCCCCTATTTTCACAAATACATTAATCCGTAATAACTATTGCATTACAAAATGCCAGTGTACACTTTGAACTGTTCACCCAACTGGGCACACATCTTACCAATTGGAAAATTAAAGTCTGCATTGCTCATCACGCCATCTTTGTTGTTGTCAAATTGGCCGAACAGGAAGCGGGCGTACTGCTCAGAGTAGCCATACCTGCACGTCAGTCTTTGCACGACCTCCCATTCCTGGCTGTTGCAGAGGTCATCTGCAAGAAACAAAAACCGATTCACCATTTTGTGCATACATTTCTATTTACAAGTCCCGAAACGGTTTTCCAAAACGAAATCTGAGCAAGGCGCGGTGGAGAGGCACGTGTTGTGTGCCATGATCATTTTTACTTTCGTGCGCATTTGCAGACACCTGTGGACAGGAGTCGAGTTTAAGAGATCGAATTTCTACTACTGAAGATTTTGCTAAGATATTGTTCTTAAATCCAAGTCGTGTTACAATAACGGTTTGTTCAAGTGGGGTAGGGCAAATGTATGGCGATTGTTAAGTTGCATGTAGAGGCCTAAGAACGATTGTAAGTAAGATTGTTCAGTGAAAGGACTTCAACGAACTTAGTAATTTAAGATTGTTCCGGACCAATTGTAAGTTGTAACCGCAAGATGGCGATTGTGGCCATTTTATAACAACTGTAGCGCTAAGAATGTGTTATGCAAGTGGACCCCTATGACACGTTTGTCCTCAAGGTCAGCAAAACTTTAGATAGAAATAGAGCAATTTTGCTACCAAACACAGTATATAGAAATAAGGCTGAAATGTGTCAAAGACTGACTTTAAATGTTCCCAGGAAAACGTTATTTTTATTTTTACACACACGCTTGGCTTTGACTAGAGAGAGTAAGGAAAGACGGTACAGCGAAATGATAAAACATCATCAATGTAACAATTCAGCCTCAGAACATGGAATTTCGCGTCCATGTTTTGTCATTATTTTCTGTATTTCATCGAGTCCAATAGTCAGGGACAGAAAGCATCAGAACGTCTCTCTTCATTCCAAATTGCCACTGACCAGAGGCTCAGATATGCTCTCATCTATCCTAAGCTATTATGTTCGTGATTGTCACAAACATGTTTCTGAACAAAAGTTATTTTAAAACCAGATCTAATCCTACTTACTGTCGTAATTGTAATGCATAATGTCGAAGCCGATGTCTCTGTTGGTGACGTTCCCGCTACCATCGAAATCGTTGTCCAGCATGGCAACACAGAACTTGCCCACCATCTTCTGAGGAGGATTGCAGCGGTTGAACAGGTTAAACCAGTACCTGAAATATAAACGCTTAGTGAGCTGGGATTATATCTCCTTCTCGGCAACTTTCACATATGTCAACGCCTTTCGAACAAATGGCCTGCAATACAACCAACAATGCCTGTGTGCAATATAAGTTTCAAGGCTATTTGTTTGGTGTTTACGTCGCTATCAGCAGTATTCGAATTCAGTGTTTGACAAAATTATTGGGTGACATGGTAATTACATTTCGAGATCACAAAGATCATTCATAGCAACTGGGACCCCTGAAGATCCGTTTTAGAGTTGATCTTCAGTAAGCCATGCTTGTCGTAAGAGGCGACTGATGTTAGCGGGTGGTCAGGCTCGCTGACTGGGTTGACACATGTCATCGTATTCCAAATGCGTAGATCGATGCTCATGCTGTTGTTAAATGGATTGTCTGGTCCAGCTTCGATTATTTACAGACCGCCGCCATATAACTGGAATATTGCAGAGTGCGGCGTAAAACTAAACTTACTCACTCACTCAGCAATCGGGTGCAGATGACAATCAAATACCTCTTGACCTGCAGGTCTATGGTATAGGCATCAAGACCTTAAGACCCAACCCAGAGGATACATGTACTGGACCCCCTGCAGTCGAACAATACCTTGGTTACATGTCAGGTCGCTCACCATCAGACTCGAGGACATTAAATATATGTCAAGTAACTGAAACTCGCTATTTCCGAACACATCAGCAAGAACAATAATATCGCGTGTGTAACAACCTATGTTTAACCCAGTTATTGATATTGTCAGTGGAGATGAACGAATGTGAGGAATGGTGGCACTCAGTGGGATGGTGACTGATATTGCGAGCAACTCATTAAAGGGATGGTGACTGATATGCGAGCAACTCATATATTGGATGATGACATATATTGCGAGCAACTCATATAAGGGATGGCGACTGATATTGCGAGCAACTCATATAAGGGTGATGGATATTGACTGATATTGCGAGCAGCAACTCATATAAGGGATGGTGACTGATATTGCGAGCAACTCATATAAGGATGGTGACTGATATTGCGAGCAACTCATATAAGGGATGGTGACTGATATTGCGAGCAACTCATATAAGGGATGGTGACTGATATTGCGAGCAACTCATATAAGGGATGGTGACTGATATTGCGAGCAACTCATATAAGGGATGGTGACTGATATTGCGAGCAACTCATATAAGGGATGGTGACTGATATTGATATTGCGAGCAACTCATATAAGGGATGGTGACTGATATTGCGAGCAACTCATATAAGGGATGGTGGATGGTGACTGATATTGCGAGCAACTCATATAAGGGATGGTGACTGATATTGCGAGCAACTCATATAAAGGATGGTGACTGATATTGCGAGCAACTCATATAAGGGATGGTGACTGATATTGCGAGCAACTCATATAAGGGATGGTGACTGATATTGCGAGCAACTCATATAAGGGATGGTGACTGATATTGCAACTCATAAAGGGATGGTGACTGATATTGCGAGCAACTCATATAAGGGATGGTGACTGATATTGCGATACTCATTGCGAGCAACTCATATAAGGGATGGTGACTGATATTGCGAGCAACTCATATAAGGGTTGGTGAGCAAACATATAAGGGATGGTGACTGATATTGCGAGCAACTCATAAGGGATGGTGACTGATATTGCGAGCAACTCATATAAGGGATGGTGACTGATATTGCGAGCAACTCATATAAAGGATGGTGACTGATATTGCGAGCAACTCATATAAGGGATGGTGACTGATATTGCGAGCAACTCATATAAGGGATGGTGACTGATATTGCGAGCAACTCATATAAGGGATGGTGACTGATATTGCGAGCAACTCATATAAGGGATGGTGACTGATATTGCGAGCAACTCATATAAGGGATGGTGACTGATATTGCGAGCAACTCATATAAAGGATGGTGACTGATACTTGCGAGCAACTGATGACTGATATTGCAGCAACTCATATAAGGGATGGTGACTGATATTGCGAGCAACTCATATAAGGGATGGTGACTGATATTGCGAGCAACTCATATAAGGGATGGTGACTGATATTGCGAGCAACTCATATAAGGATGGTGACTGATATTGCGAGCAACTCATATAAGGGATGGTGACTGATATGGTGACTGATATTGCGAGCAACTCATATAAGGGATGGTGACTGATATTGCGAGCAACTCATATAAGGGATGGTGACTGATATTGCGAGCAACTCATATAAGGGATGGTGACTGATATGCCAGCAACTCATATAAGGGATGGTGACTGATATTGCGAGCAACTCATATAAGGGACGGTGACACCCAAGGAACCATGGTACTCGGGCAACTCGCTCAATCCAGTCATACGTTCCTGGGCATGTAATGCCATCACGGAATGTTTCTTTTCACCCAGGGGCGGATACAGCTTTTTGAGGAAGGGGGGTGCACACTATTGAGAAAAGGGAGGGTGCACACTTCATTTTCACCAGAGTTTCAATGGTCATTTAATAAACAGGACAAAAGGGATGGGGTGGGGTGCGCATCCCTGCAACACCCCCCCCCACCCCATGGATCCGCCTATGTAACCAGATTGAAAGTATCAATAGTGGAAGTAGGATAAGAGCTCATTAATATATTTTGCAAAATAAGATTTTTACTGTTTCGATGAAAATCGTGATATACCTGGAGAAACCACAGGTCCCACAGAAGAGGAGGGCGAACACGGTGAGACGGAGGGCGAGCATCCTGAAAACAAACCAGAAGGATCCAGGTAAATATACATGTATACTGCCAGAATACCCGGTCCTGACTAACCCAAGGAACAGATTCCATTTGACGTAAAGTTAAAAATAGATGTAAATAGAAGCGACAAAACTCTTTCCACTGACAGAGGCCCAGATAAGCTGCGCATCCGGGTAAAATACGCATAGAAAATTTCCAATTACGCATTGAAAAAATAATTGTTGCGTACCAATTACGCATTTAAAATGTTAGATACGCCATAAGTTTAAAACAAATGCGTACGGAATATATTTATAAAACTCGCTTACGTAATGAAAAGACATCGATTGCTATCAAGTTGTACTGTAAGTATAGGACAAGTGTTGTACTGTCAGTATAGGATGAGTGATTTTTTATGAAATCATTTCCATTATATTAAATTTGGTTTTGATTAGGTATGACAAAAGGCAGAACATACCTGCTTAGTAAACTTACTCAATGACATAATACTTAGGTAAGTAAAATGACTGAAATACGCACATATTTGAAAGCAGTGGGTAACGGAAAATGAAATACCCACTCAACATTCATAATACCCAGTCCAAAAAACTACAGTGGGTACAGTACCCACATGAACGAAAGCTTATCTGGAGCTCTGGACTTTCCACATTCATAAGTAATCTCTGCCAAAAGCAGAGTCGATTGTACAGCTGTGACTATATCATGAGCAGATATTTGTTTCAGCTGTATTACAGATGTATGATGTTGTTTGTAAACAAATCTGATCTGAACTAGACAATCCAGTGACTGTCAGCATGCGATACGATGACAGAGCATGTGTTTATGAATCACTATAAAAATCAGTCACGACATCAATTCAATCTATTTTATTTCAGTATAAAGGCAACAGGCCCACATAGAGCTGATACAGTTGAGGTATTTTGAAAAGGAGCACTACAGCAAAAAATTACAGTCATGACGATCGGCGATTCATGACACATTTAACGTAATTTACTAAGTGTTAAATCCCTTGGATTAGCAAAGGTAGGGTCAGTGAAAATGGGAAATATGTATACGAATATTTACATGTGCTTGGAATATTAATACAAAATGAATTTAGTTCTCAATTACTGTTAAGTTACATAATGGACAAAATCGCTGTATCTTATCCACATCCAATTTCCACCTCACCAATAATAATATGGCCATCGGACGTCTGTTTTCTTTTGATAGCGTACTTAACAAGAAGGGTTCTAGCGAACTATAAAACTATAGTTCTATAGTTCTAGGTTTGAGCACCTCGACACCTCAGTATGTCATGTTTGTGTATAACAAGCTTTATCTTCATAAAGCCTCAGTATGTCATGTTTGTGTATAACAAGCTTTATCTTAATAAAGCCTCAGTATGTCATGTTTGTGTATAACAAGCTTTATCTTAATAAAGCCTCAGTATGTCATGTTTGTGTATAACAAGCTTTATCTTAATAAAGAATCATAATCAGAGGAAAATGATAACAATTATATTCATGATGCTTTTCTTCCGACAACATCTGATTGAACTGATATAGCGTAACACTGTCTGGGATGTCTGTGGCATACTAAGGAATATAAGCCCTTATTTCCTACATCTAGTGAGATATCAATATGAATACCAAAGCGACAACATTCCCCTGACGCTGCAACGTTTGTAGCCTTGAGGTGGCAAGGGTAAACATACTTTGCCGCGCTAGTTGCGCCCAACATGCGCCCAATTTGCATAAACATGTCATTATTGACATTTGACGCGACAGTATTTTCATATAATGCAGGAGTACAGATCCTGCTAATGGCATCACGTATGCGTTGGGCAGTAAAGTAGCAGTCGAGAAACAGCACTATAAATGACATAATAATAACATAAATAATCATTGTGCACGCACGCACATACACATACATACATACATACAGTGTACATACATACATACATACATACATACATACATACAGTGTTTATACAGTGTTCATACATGTGCATACATACATACATACATACATACAGTGTACATACATACATACATACATACAGTGTACATACATACATACATACATACATACATACAGTGTATATACAGTGTACATACATACATAAATACATACATACATACATACATACATACAGTGTATATACAGTGTACATACATACATACATACAGTGTACATACATACATACATACATACATACATACATACATACACAGTGTACATACATACATACATACATACATACATACATACATACAGTGTACATACATACATACATACATACATACATACATACATACATACATACATACAGTGTACATACATACATACATACATACATACAGCGTACATACATAGAGTGTACATACATACATACCTACATACATGCATACATACATACAGAACGGCCACGTGTGACGTCCCATGCCGAGGACGTCATTTGTGTAATTGTTTTCCAAGCAGTAAAACACTGTTTTGAGGTGGTGTTACTGCCCAGACCACTAGAGACCGTTTGCGGGACCGTCCTTATGTTGGGCAGATTCTGACACAGGTAAACTGTAAAGAACGTCTAGTCTGGGCAGAAATGCACCTGCGCTGGAACCAGAGACAATGGAATAAGGTTGCATTTAGCGACGAATCACGTATAACGCTGCAATTTGCCGACGTCACGCCAACTGCTGCGTACAGGAAGTTTGGGGAGTTTTCTGCAGGAACGTGCGCTCACGTCTTGTCGTAAGTCGTCTTAACCTCAAACCAGTGGGATATCGTGACCAGGGCCTTGTTCCGGAGCTGGTGCCGTTCATGGCTGCTCATAGTCCAGGCCTCCAATTACAACATGACAATGTGACACAACACAGGTGTTTTAGCACGAAATGTCCTGCAGAACTGTATCCTGTATTGACGTCAAGGAGTGGCAATCGAGATCACGTGACCTCAATCCCATGAAACGTCATCCCAGAATGTTCAAGAGCTGGGCGCCATGTAGGTACATCAATGGCGGGGGTTGCCTGATGCTGTGTTCAATGATGTTAGGCAGCCAATGAGACAACGTTACCTTGCTCTTGTGACTGCGAGAAGGGGACATACTGAACAAGCTTCAAAACAGATGGCTTTTCCCTGTGAAGTCGAAAAGTGACCCTATCGTGCTGCTGTTGACGGCGGAATGTGCACCAAGCGAACCTTAATGCCTAATCATGTTGTCCTGTACGCTCCGTATGTTCATAAACCAGATTTATTCACTAATAAATTAATATGATCATGTTTTGGACATAAAGTAACACATATAAAGTTTCTTTTTTGGTTTATTATTATACATGCCGTGATTTCAAACAGTTTGCCCATTGGTGTTTCGATTCATACAGTCCTTGCAATAATTATGGTCTAATTGGACATTGAAACCACCAAAATACACGCACGCAGACACAGGCACGCACACAGGCACGCACGCACGCACGCACACACACACACACACACACACACACACAGAGAGAGAGAGAGAGAGAGAGAGAGAGAGAGAGAGAGAGAGACGACACACACACACGCACACGCACACGCACGCACACACACACGCATGCACGCACGCACACACACATTCACAAAATAATGTAACATCACTCATTTTCCGCCTTTGCGTTTCAGCGTTACTGTTACAGATCATATCATGTGTGAGTGAGTGAGTCAAGTTTTACGCCGCCTTTTGCAATATTACAGCAATATGCGGGGGACACCCAAAATGGGCTTCCCACACTTTACCCATGTTGGGAATCGAACCCGGGTCATCATTGCGACTAGAGGACGCTTGAACCATTAGGCTACCCCACCGCCTCTCATATTATGAAGCAACTTTACCATGTCGTCACAATGTAATACACAAATACTGTGACATGGCGAGCCATGACGTCACATTAGAGACTTAAAATGACAATGGTGACATTCACAATTGTAATACAACAATCAAGTACACTGCTTTAGAAAAACAGGAAATTTATCTTGAATTATATTTCGATCCCTGCTGTCGATGTAAAGATGCATGTCTTGTGGTCCTTTACCTGTTATTCATGGACGCGGATTCGAGTCCTTAAACGGTCCGTGTGTCCAGTGTATTACTCAAGAGAGCATATTATTAAATAAGTACTATTAAAGCATACTTATGTAGCAGGGCCCTTCTCTACTTGTAGTATGACTTGCATATTATAACAGGATCAGGCCAGGTTGGAACATAATGAAATAATTCTATAATTTTATACATGAATCTTCACAAGTTGGACAGATACTGTTATCATTACTAGTAAATGTACAGTTGAACGTTCAGTAATACATGACAGTGAAAGGGCATTTGTACATAGCATACCTTTGTAAATTACAGCTGTTAATCTGTACAAATGAAAACGAGAAAGGAAAATAGTTAGCAAAATACGAAAATATACGAACCTGTCTGAATGCAGTGGATAACGACTGAAACTTTGGCCTGATCACTGCCCAACTGTTCAGCCGGTACGATAGCTCCACCCACAGGTCAAGACAGGTACGGTGAGGGTGCAGAGGAGGGGTACCCATATGTCGTTAAGTTGTTTTTAGAATCTTGTCTGTTTATGAACAGCAGTGATATTGCTTGATTCTGGTTCGGGCATCTGATTGATTTGAACGTTTTATGTGAATGCGTGTTACGAGGTTTCAACTTGCTTATATTACTCACTTAGTTTCATGTCGCACACAACAATATATCAGCTATTTGGCAGCTGTCTGTAAATAGACTGTAAACCAGACAGTCCAGTGATCAACAGAATGAACATCGATCTACGCAATTGGGATACAATGACATGTGCTAACCAGGTCAGCGAACCTGACCATCTGCCTCTTACGACAAGCATGGGTTACTGAAGATCAATTCTAACCCGGATCTTCACGGGGCCACTCACTCATATCACTCAATAGTATTACTCTTTTCATGTCATTTCGGAACGGGTATGTGAGCAGTACTGGCACGGGTGTGTCACAAGTAAAATTAATGTTCGTTGAGTGAGATACTCCCCGTACTGGGTACTGGGTTATTCTAGTTATAAGTTATACACAGAAGAATTAGAAGACAATTGAGGACATATTCACCACAGAAAGAAATAATAATTTTGAAAGCTTGTAAACCAAATGGTTTCCTCGCATCCCTGTATTTAATCCTGAATAACTACGTAATCAAAACATATTACTGTTGATATTGATATTTAATGTATATATATCTGTTGATCCCACAAGCTGTTACGTACAGATATTTTTCTGCATGCTTGTATTCAGCTTATTGGGAACAATAAAACAAAATCCGAACTAACACATTTTAGTAAGACTTCGTAAGGCATGTAAGGCTGACAGTAGGGCTGACATATGTCAGTTGAGACCATACTCGTCATGTTTCTTTCCATGAGGGTGACAAGGAAGATCGTATCCTCAGATTCCTGAACCATTCCTGCTGAGCAGCGTATTTCCATGCTGAGCAGTTGCTCGCATCTTGCAGTCTTAACCATCGAAGGCCTTTCATAATACACCCAGACATATAGTTTTTGTATGATATTAAGCCGTCTGGGACAACTTAAGAATGGTCAGCAAGTTCTAACTTGACACACAGAAGGAGGCACGCAACAAGGACATTTATATCACTGAAAAGATCTCGAGGAAAAAATAATGTACCAGTGTGTTCACGTGCTCATAAGCTCACACATTGGCTCTGAAAAAACATTACTGCATAAATTTCCTACAGTATTTGTTTTCTGCAGAATTGTTTTTCAGATTCTTTTAACTGCAGATTTTTTTCTGCAACAGTCTGAACTGGGTGAAAAAACGAAATCCTTATAAGATTCGTTATGGTGTACAGCAAAAACAGTTCCAGATGAAGTAGGGCATCACTTGGAAACTTTGAAACAGAGTCAACCTCTGCGGCAAATTCATCTAGTAAATATTTAGAGAGGTGATATTTATTCGAATCTGGACAAGCAGGTTTAGTCAAAAGGGCATCCCAACCATTTTTGTTTGTTTTAGTGTTTGCAGTGATCATTTGTGTCATAGTGATTTATTCTCTCATTGTTTGGACACTAGAGATCCTTTGTGGAAACGTCATACCGGAAAAGCACAGTTTGCTGTATATTACTAATTTTATCGTAAAGGGGACTATTTTGACGCAATGATATATACATATTTTGTATTTACATTAACATGACGACATTGAATAGAATATTTTCAATTACAAATTTCGTTTCAAAAAGGAGTTTGAAAATTACATAAATCTTTATTCATATAGTTTCAGTAAAATTTAGCAATTTTCAGTTGAACGATGGCCCTCGGTGTACGAATTGTTTGACGACGGCAGCCGACGTTCAAGATCACAGCGTTGGAAAAGAACGAACTGGTGATGTGCGCATTTAGTCTCGATCCTCGTAAAGAAATACGCTTTAATGTTTCTGCATATATTTGCAAACTAAACAAATCATTTCATCATGCTTAAAAGTTTAGGGTCCAATGACACCCCAGTTTAAAAGACGACGGGGCAATAACCAACCCTGACACCGTTTCCTCTAGTTCGGTATTTCGGTAACAAGAAAAAAGAATGATGCTTGAAAATTTAAAACCTTAATCCTTTTCCTAGCAAATGCAAATGAGGTCGTGCTGAAATGTTCGTCTCCTCAGTAAACATACCTTGGGACGCCTGTACTTGATATACTTGAGTTAATGTATTTGCGAGAAGTGATGAGTGAATAGCTTCAGGTACAGGGGGTCATATACATTGATACAATGCTCGTCTCTTACAAACGTACTTCACACACCTTGAGCAAGTAGTCACGTCCCTTGCAACAAAACTGAGTACTTTCCCTGCATGAGCAGAGCCAAACACTCAAAATGTCATGTCTTCTGTGTCGTGGACGGAAGACTCACATGGCAGTGTGCTGCACTTCAACGCCACACACAATCTGAGATTCCATTGTACTGTAAAAGGAGATCAGTCCGGTGGCTCCTTTCACGAAGCAACCTTTACTAAGGTTAACCTTATCTCCCATTCTTTAACATAGCACTACGGTTACCTCAGTGACTTACGATCACCTTAGTGCTTTGTGAAAGGAGGCCCTGATCAACAGCCACTGCAAGTGTAATGAATGTACTGTGAGTGAGTTGAGTGAGTGAGTGTGTGAGTGAGTGAGTGCGTGTGTGGGGGAGTGAGGGAGGGAGTGATGGAGGGAGTGATGGAGGGAGCGAGCCTCTTTACAATATTCTAGCAATATCACGGCGTGGGACACGATAAATGGGCTTTACACATGAACGCTCTTACTACTAGGCTACCCTACCGCCCCGCGACATAGAAGAAGAAGAAGAAGAAGAAGAAGAAGAAGAAGAAGGAGTGAGTGAGTTAATATTTAACGTCACATCGGCAATATTTCAGCCATATCGTGACAGAAGAAGAAGGAGGAGGAGGAGGAGGAGAAGAGGAACCAAAATGGTTTATTAAGATGAGACCTAGAAGACAACAAAATCGAGCATAAGTATTAACAAATTTTGAATAAAACCGTTCCTTGAATAATTGTTACAGTTTCCATACATGAAAGGGGAAATGCTGGTGTAAGAATATTGTTCATATCGACGGCAAAACATTAGTGAAACCCTTGCTTCTGGGGGCTTAAACAACCTCGCATTCCTCATCAGTTTCTTCCGCGACAGTTGCAAAGCTTATTATATCTTGTATCCTGGTATCTGTACGACTAAACCTGCTAAGCTTGACTTCTGAGGACAGAGTACCATAGAGATGTTTGTTAAATACTGTAACCTGTTCCATATTGTACATTTGGTTTTCATTACACAGAGTGAGTGAGTGAGTGAGTGAGTGAGTTTAGTTTTACGCCGCTTTTAGCAATATTGCAGCAATATCACGGCGGGGGACACCAGAAATGGGCTTGACGCATTGTCTTAGGAGCTTAGCTGAATAATTGACATGTAACCTATTGATATCTTCAATCAAATCATTGATAGAAACTGAGAAGAGTGTTGGTGACAGAACGCACCCCTGGACCACTCCTGACCTAACAGGGAGCAAACGGTTGTTACAGTTATTAACACGAACGCATGACCCGGTATTCTGTTTAGAATTATAACGTACTCAAGGCTGGTAACTCACATATTGTGTCGAAGGGGCTTTCCGACACGTTCTACATAATTGACTTTTTCTCTTCCGCCCAAAAACAAACAAGGCCTCTAGTGTTTATACAACTCCGTGGGAGGAGTATCTCGGGTAATGGCACTGTAAGTGTATCTCCTTGTACGGACTGGACCTTTCAGTGACTGCATGCCTATTGTTTAGATGGTTGTTGGGGGCTTGGATTATCGTTTGAGTGAGTGAGTGAGTGAGTTCAGTTTAACACTGCTTTTATCAATATTTCTGCAATATCATGGGACAGAAATAGACTTCACACATTGTACCCATGTGGGGAATCGAACCCGACGAGCGAACGCTTTAACCACTAGGCTACCCCACCGCCCCGATTATTTTTGAAACAGAACAGGATTTAATAGATTTAGCTCACAAAAGAGAGGCCGGGGCAGTGGGGTAGCCTAGTGGTTAAAGCGTTGGCTCGTCACACCGAAGGCCCGGGTTCGATTCCCTACATGGGTACAATGTGTGAAGCCCATTTCTGGTGTCCCCCGCCGTGATATTGCTGGAATATTGCTAAAAGCGGCGTAAAACCATTCTCACTACTCACTAAAAGAGAGGCCAAACAAAAAATTTCAGTTGGTTTATAGCTCATTGTCTAGCATGTCAAGTGGACGACTTAAGTTTTGAACAAAAACTGAAAGTAGCAATGCAAATAAGATGACATTTACAGGACACAAATAGTTCTGTAAAGATGGGAATTGTGTGTTTCTATATATTGACAAAGGGATATCATTGGTATGAAACTTTATATGATAGTTCTGTATTGGCTAGTCCTTACGCCCTACCATGGTGGCGAGTAACATCTGAAATTTGCCCTTGAGTAGTACATTGTCTCAGTAGGATGCCATACTCTCCTTGCAATGATATTGACAGGTATATTGATGAGGTCTCTGGTACTTTTCCTCACGTGTTACACTGGATTTCGCTTAATTTTACGATATTGCAATCAATTAGAGCTCATCTTACTATTGTTCACTCGTAAGAGGCGACTAACAGGATCAGGTGGTTGGCACATGTCATTGTATCCCAGTTTCGTAGATCGATGCTCATGCTGTTGATCACTGGATTGTCTGGTCCAGATTATTTGCAGACCGCCGCCATATAGCTGGAATATTGCTGGATGCCGCTTTAATCAACAACAACCAACCATCTAATATTGTTCACACTGTTAACAAGCAATATATTGACAAGAAAATATATACTAATGTTACAAATACAGATTATTAACATGGGGAATATGAAGGCGAATACTTATAAAACTGAACATTCTCTCAATAACATTTCTGACACACGTAAATCTTCATGCCAAACAATGTCTCAAGGCACAAAATGTGCTTAAAGTTTTAAACTAATCCCTAAAGCATTTATTGCGGTAAGAACACCCCAGTACACTTCCAAGTGAACAGTATGCAACCATTAAATCTGAACCAATCATCTAAATTGATAATCATTAACAATCAGGCAATTTGTAAGCATAATGCGGTTGGAACGAAAAGTATTTCATGCTTCAAAATAATTGAAACAGTAACATTGTTCTTACTTTCATATTTATCTTCAAGATATTGAATGCAATGTATACTGTGTGATAGAAAGGATACGAAAACATGATAAATTCAAAAATGATGCTTTAATGAAACATGTAATGATGGGAAATATATAATTACTACGTTAACTAACTCATGAACAGAACTTGGTACAGGTAGATATTTTATCAGTTAGACCCTAAAGTGATGAGGCTACTCAATCAGTTTATTTGTTATCACTTCAGACAGGAATTACTGCGTTCTCACGGAAGTATTTCACTGAGGCAGTAAGCGAAACACTTTCTCATGTGATTGTAAATCTTGAAGAACAACCATGATGTAGGGAAAGTGCCTGCGCATTTTAGACGGAAGACACGCTCTACATCGAAATATGGTCTTTACATAATACTCATAATGCTTTCTATTCAGGGCTGTTATATAAATTTATAAGCCTTTTTGACATTTATTCTCTGCATGCATATGGAAACACAACTTCAACCAAACGCGGTGGTTCAGGAGTATATCATCTAATGTCATCGACTTAAGAATACATCAAAATGGCAGTTTCAAGGTAAAGATTGAGCATTCCCTAGTATGTACAAATCTTGATGAGCTCCTTAAATCTGAGAAGTTTGATGTATTTTACATTAAAAAATAGATCTACATTTTCAAGAGATTGGTCATTAACAAACTGAAAAAATAAATATCCTCACTCAGACATCACTTCTTGCCTTTTATTATATGGAATAAACTGTATGGAGATACATAACCAATGACTAGGGACAATAACGTCTTGTTTATTGCGTAGAACGACGTTGTACCGCCTTAATTGTAAGGATTAAATCGTTATACAAGTTGATTGGCATTGATTAGGATTGAATAGTAGGTTGACCGAAGGAGTTGATTTCTACTATAAAGAAATTGTTCATCAACATATCTTATCCATATTTGATAAACTCCGTTTAGTCAGTGGGCCTTGTACAACGTTTATTTAATCCATGTGAGGTAGCCTTCCGTAAGTTGTATTTACATGAAAAATGACTGGACAAAATGAACAGAGAGCTTTGGAGATATCAACTTAAACATTCACTTAAAACGGAATTTTGCAAAATGCTGCCCACAATAATGGTTAACATAACATTGTTCTTAACAAGCAGGACGCATATATAACAAGTTTTATGGATAACAACTTCTTTATTTTCGTGAGTGCGACGTTTCGATACAGATTCTTGTACCGTTGTCAAGCAAGAGTGGTACATGAAGTGTAGGAGCTGCATATATATACTGTATATAACAATGAAACAACATAATAGACAAAGGAAACAACATAATTGCCATGATTGGCTAAGCAGTAAGCTGATGAAGCCAGTAAGTACATAAAGGATAGTGAGTGGAAGCCAGAGATGTAGTTACAATGAGATGTTTATACAATGGATGCGATGTTTATACAATAGACTGGGCTTGGTGGAGGAGTGGATCATAAGCAGATGGAATGAAGTATCCTTGGTCACGGTTGATGGTAGGCTTGTGGCGTTTGATGTGAATGGCTTCTGTGAGCTTGCGTTTAGTGAAGTCCGTTTGGTTGTTGGCGAGAATGGTGATGTCGGACCACTCTATTTGATGATTGGGGTTGGCTTTGATGTGGTCAGAGATAGCTGATTTGGTGTCGGAATTAGCAACAGAGGTGCGATGTTCTTTGACTCGGGTGTTGATGGGTCGGGATGTTTCACCTATGTAGCATTGTCCACAATCACAGTCTATTTTGTAAATAACACATTTCGGGTTGTTGTTGTTGACGGTGGGTTGTTTTCTTCCGTTGGCATGGAGGAGGTTGTTGAGGCTGGAGGACGCTGAGAAGGTAGTGTCTATTCCTGCCTGTTGTTTCAGGAGTCAGCTGATTTGGTGTGATGGTTTACCAATGTAGGGAATGGATATCTTGATGGGGGCTGATTCTGGTTTAGACCTTTGGCAGGAGGTGAAAGCGTTGCTTCGATGGTTCTGTTGACTATTTCAGGTGGGTAGTGGTTGCGTTCCACAAAGACTTTCCTCAGGTGTTCAATTTCTTCCTGTAGGTTTGTTGAGCAGATGTTTTGGCTCTTCTGGTCAATGTAGAGATGACGCCGGTCTTGACTTTAGGTGGGTGGTTGGAGTTGTAGTGGATGTATTGATCCGTATGAGTTGGTTTTCTGTACACGGAGGTCTGGAGTTGGTTGCAGGAGGTGCGGGACACAAGGACATCAAGGAAAGGTAGTTGGTTGTTCTGCTCTGTTTCAATGGTGAATTTGATGCGGGATGTTGGCTGTTGAGATGAGCGAGGAGCTGCTTTGGATCTTGCTGAGGTTGGAGGACGACGAAGGTGTCATCCACTTTGCGGTACCAGCAGGACGGTTTGAAGGGTGCAGTTTCTAGGGCCTTCTCTTCCAGGTCGGCCATGTAAATTTCTGTTAGGATGGGGATAGTGGGGAGCCCATGGGAAGTCCGTGGATTTGCTCATAGATGGCATCGCCCCAGGTGAAGCAGGTGGAGTTGATGCAGGCGGAGGTGAGGCTGATGATAGAGTCGGTAGAGAGGCTGGTGTTGAGGGGTTGTTGGAGGTTGTCAATTCTGTGACGTAGTGCTTGAAGGGCTTCATCCCGTGGTACATTGGTGAATAGGTCCACAACGTCGTAGCTGATGATTGGACCTGGGTTGGTGATGTCACGGATCTTGGAGCAGAAGTCAGTTGAATCATTGATGAAGGAGTTGGCAGATTTACCTAATGGGGAGAGTACTTGGGTAAGGTGCTGGGCAGTACTGTAGAATACAGTGTCGCGGGAACAGACTAGTAGACGAGTTTTAACGGGGTTCTTGTGGATTTTGACTGTTGCTCTGGCATAAGGTGGCTGGGGTGAGATACTGTGAGTTTACGATACAGGTCTGTTGAGAGTTCATATTTATCATGCAGCGTTTTAGCGTGGCCTTATGCTGACGGTTGAGCTTTGTAGTCGGATCCTCTTCATCATTTGGTAGGTTGAGGTGTCATCTAGGAGGTTATCCACCATGGAGTGGAAGTGGTCCTTGTCTAAGACAACAGTGGCTCTGCCCTTGTCGGCTGGGGCGATGACAATATCAGGATGTTGTTTAAGTTGTCTGATGGCTTGTTTCTCAGCTGGTGTGATGTTTGGTTTCTGAGGCTGGGCTTTGTGGAGAATACTGGTGATCTGGTGTCGGAGGAAGTCAACCTTTCCACCGGGTGCAAGTTGTTGGAGACCCTTTTCAATGTTGGCGATAAACATGTCCGAGTTGATTTTGGGTGATGCAGGGGCAAATTTGAGACCTTTGGCAAGGGTACTGACCTGTTGGTTGGTGAGTTGTATCTTGCTAAGGTTGACGACTGTGTTGTTGATAGTTGGTGCTGTGGTTGGTGCTGTGGTTTTCTTGCGTTTGGTTCCTGAGGCAGTGAGTTCTTGTAGTTTCTTGATGTGTCCGGTTTTAGTTGAGGTGTCTAGTTTGTTGTTGGCGGTAGTCTGGGCAGTTCGTAAGGAAGAGAAGAGTTGTGGGTCAAGGGTGGAACTGAGGGAGGTGTGGAGATCATTGATGGCGGACGTGGAGGTGGCCTTGATTTTGCGATGATGTCGGAAACATTGAAAAGGGTCTCCAACAACTTGCACCCGGTGGAAAGGTTGACTTCCTCCGACACCAGATCACCAGTATTCTCCACAAAGCCCAGCCTCAGAAACCAAACATCACACCAGCTGAGAAACAAGCCATCAGACAACTTAAACAACATCCTGATATTGTCATCGCCCCAGCCGACAAGGGCAGAGCCACTGTTGTCTTAGACAAGGACCACTTCCACTCCATGGTGGATAACCTCCTAGATGACACCTCAACCTACCAAATGATGAAGAGGGATCCGACTACAAAGCTCAACCGTCAGCATAAGGCCACGCTAAAAACGCTGCATGATAAATATGAACTCTCAACAGACCTGTATCGTAAACTCACAGTATCTCACCCCAGCCACCTTATGCCAGAGCAACAGTCAAAATCCACAAGAACCCCGTTAAAACTCGTCTACTAGTCTGTTCCCGCGACACTGTATTCTACAGTACTGCCCAGCACCTTACCCAAGTACTCTCCCCATTAGGTAAATCTGCCAACTCCTTCATCAATGATTCAACTGACTTCTGCTCCAAGATCCGTGACATCACCAACCCAGGTCCAATCATCAGCTACGACGTTGTGGACCTATTCACCAATGTACCACGGGATGAAGCCCTTCAAGCACTACGTCACAGAATTGACAACCTCCAACAACCCCTCAACACCAGCCTCTCTACCGACTCTATCATCAGCCTCACCTCCGCCTGCATCAACTCCACCTACTTCACCTGGGGCGATGCCATCTATGAGCAAATCCACGGACTTCCCATGGGCTCCCCACTATCCCCCATCCTAACAGAAATTTACATGGCCGACCTGGAAGAGAAGGCCCTAGAAACTGCACCCTTCAAACCGTCCTGCTGGTACCGCAAAGTGGATGACACCTTCGTCGTCCTCCAACCTCAGCAAGATCCAAAGCAGCTCCTCGCTCATCTCAACAGCCAACATCCCCGCATCAAATTCACCATTGAAACAGAGCAGAACAACCAACTACCTTTCCTTGATGTCCTTGTGTCCCGCACCTCCTCCAACCAACTCCAGACCTCCGTGTACAGAAACCAACTCATACGGATCAATACATCCACTACAACTCCAACCACCCACCTAAAGTCAAGACCGGCGTCATCTCTACATTGACCAGAAGAGCCAAAACATCTGCTCAACAAACCTACAGGAAGAAATTGAACACCTGAGGAAAGTCTTTGTGGAACGCAACCACTACCCACCTGAAATAGTCAACAGAACCATCGAAGCAACGCTTTCACCTCCTGCCAAAAGGTCTAAACCAGAATCAGCCCCCATCAAGATATCCATTCCCTACATTGGTAAACCATCACACCAAATCAGCTGACTCCTGAAACAACAGGCAGGAATAGACACTACCTTCTCAGCGTCCTCCAGCCTCAACAACCTCCTCCATGCCAACGGAAGAAAACAACCCACCGTCAACAACAACAACCCGAAATGTGTTATTTACAAAATAGACTGTGATTGTGGACAATGCTACATAGGTGAAACATCCCGACCCATCAACACCCGAGTCAAAGAACATCGCACCTCTGTTGCTAATTCCGACACCAAATCAGCTATCTCTGACCACATCAAAGCCAACCCCAATCATCAAATAGAGTGGTCCGACATCACCATTCTCGCCAACAACCAAACGGACTTCACTAAACGCAAGCTCACAGAAGCCATTCACATCAAACGCCACAAGCCTACCATCAACCGTGACCAAGGATACTTCATTCCATCTGCTTATGATCCACTCCTCCACCAAGCCCAGTCTATTGTATAAACATCGCATCCATTGTATAAACATCTCATTGTAACTACATCTCTGGCTTCCACTCACTATCCTTTATGTACTTACTGGCTTCATCAGCTTACTGCTTAGCCAATCATGGCAATTATGTTGTTTCCTTTGTCTATTATGTTGTTTCATTGTTATATACAGTATATATATGCAGCTCCTACACTTCATGTACCACTCTTGCTTGACAACGGTACAAGAATCTGTATCGAAACGTCGCACTCACGAAAATAAAGAAGTTGTTATCCATAAAACTTGTTATATATTGTACGTCTCAACTTCTAAAATGCCACTCAAACAAGTTGTAAAAATTAAAATCATTCTAAATTGCAAAAATATACAAGCTTTGTGTAGGTAGATTAATGTATATATGCTTGTAAATCTGCGATATTTTGCTTGTGTAACGAGTTGTACTTGTACGAGTATCTGAGTCCATGACACTGGAACTATCTATCTGTGCACCACACTGTGCGTCATGTACATAATTGCAGTGGCTCACGGCAGTGTTGTTGATTGACGTCGCCATCGTCCGAGTCGTCACACTGAAGACTCAAGGTGCATTGAATAACATTGACACAAGCCGAGAAACAAAAGGTCACCAGGTGAAATTTCAACCCCCTGCGATTCTCTAAATGAATGTAAATATTGAGTGTAGCTGTTAAAGACATTGCCTGCTTTTGGTGGGAATTGAGCCCAGCACTAAATATTTCCAGTATGCACGGAAATGCGTCCCGTTGAGAGCCCCATTTTGATTGACACGTTGAGTTTGCTGAGTAACGGTTCGTCACGCCGAGAACGAGACTGCCCCAAGAAACCTACCCGGCCTAACTCTGTAGTTTCTTGGTTGAACAGTCGAGAACGAAGGTAAGTTGTTTTATTCACGATAGTCTATATGCAGGTGGCTATGACTAAAACTAAAATCTGTTTTGAAACTTTAAAAAGTACAATTGGACATACAAATTATTTTCAGTGTGAGTTTTATAGAATATTCAGTGTTAAGTAAATATTAGGTTCTCATGTATTTGATTTTAGTTCTGCGTAATAACAATATGATGGATTTAGAAAAGGTCCTTTCTGGACTTGTTCGAGAAGGCTGCTGTCAGTGTGCATGCTACTCATCCATCTTAAGTTCATTTATGAATACCGTAAGGGTTATCTTGTATAATGTTTGCTTGTAAAATACATATGATAAAAAGTATACTACTCACTTTGCTAAGGATCACAAAAATATCCAACTTTACTTAAACATAGATTTATAATTTAAAATTGTATCCATTTTAATTTCGATAAATAATGATATGGTAACCCCTCTTTAGACTAACAGCCACATTAATCTAACCTTATGCACTTGATACATGAGTAACCATAAAAATGGTTTTCATGGCACCAATCAACCATTTTGCAAATCATGGAACACGTCATTGACAAGTACACAACACCTGTCAATAGCGGGTATGGGATCCACAAGATGCAGTGACATACTGAAACCTAGGATCCATGCTTACAATATGCTTAGAGATTTAAACCAAATTAGACCCCACATTATAGTTTTCTGATGAATCAATGATTTGATCCGTAGCAAAGTGTGAATAGTATATTTAATAAATATATTTTGGTTGAACTAATGTAAGCATACGTTTGTGGTTTCTTCACTGCTTTCACGTCCGACTAAATATCTCAACTTTTGTGATATTATGCACTTCTCTGTACACAGATGATGTACAGAACATTGTTGTGTCTGGCCCTGTTCATGGGCTCTGTGTCGGCCTGGGGAAGCTTTTTCGGCAAGAACAGGGAGACAGAATGCGGTTCCTTCCGAAAGCAAAGGAGAGGCTGGTGGTAATGACAAATATTATATTTCAGTCTGTAAATCACTCCCCGCTTTGAAATAGATGAGTTGAACTAATACAGTCTGTAAGTAACACACCACTTAGGTGTATTTCGGGGTTGGAGACAGATGTGAAAGAGACGAATTGATGGCCAGAATTGATCATAAGATAGAACTGGGATTCAGTCAGAGTCTCTAATGAGACGGGAACGGTTTTGGCTCCTGAGCCAGGATACGCTGGTTGTGATCCAATTATGATCCTTGGTTTGAACCAGATCCATGTTCGGTGCATGCAGTAAAGTTGTTTCGCCGTTCCTCTTCCGGTCATCTGAGTCCATGACTAAAGATATTTACAAGATCTTTTATGTTCTCATGGATGTTTTTGGGTCACAAATTGACCCAAATGTGTTGATGACCTGTGTCCAGTAGGGAAGGATACGCCGACCTCTTGACGAACACCTAGAGTCGTGATCGGAATCGTTGACTCTGCTTACAGTAGATCTAGATGTTTCAGGATCCCGATGTTGGCGGCAGTTCCATAGTTCCGTATTTTTGGGGCAGAATGGCAGAAATCAGGAACGCTGAGATAACACGCGTTTTAGCAGAGAAAAAATGGTTTGTCTGCCTTCAGAGTCGGCTGAATTAAGTCGTTTGTCTTAATATTTGTTGTAGGTTTGATTTTTGTGTGGCTGCAGCTGTGTACTTAACAAACATTCTTTGATGTGACCCCTGACTTCATGTTTCTGTATTATCGCAGGTTCTCTTCCAACTCCATGACTGATGTTAACACGCGTCAAGTTCTGGATGACCTCAAGGCTTTCGACATCAACAAAGACGGCTACCTCACTTTCGCCGAAGCTAACAACCAAGCAGTTGCATCCACCTTCGACAGTTCCCTGAACCGTAATTATCTGCTATATTCATAGAAACACTAATCAGAACCTTTAAAGACACCTTTACGGGGGGTCCCGTGAAGATCCGGTTAGAATTGATCTTCAGTAACCCATGCTTGTCGTAAGAGGCGATTGACGGAATCGGGTGGTCAGGCCCGCTGACTTAGTTGACATATGTCAGCGTATCCCAATTGCATAGATCGGTGCTCATGTTGTTGATCACTGGATTGTCTGGTCCAGACACGATTGTTTAAAGACCACCGCCATATAGCTCTAATATTGCTGAGTGCGGCGTAAAACTAGACTCACTCATTCACTCCTTTACAGAATCTCTTATTTACAATACAACTGTTTGTTTATGCCACGAGTGGTTAGCACTTTGGTTGACCTTTGCACATGCGGGATGTATATTCATGTCCTGTGTGGTTAACACGTTGGTAGAACTTCGTTTCAAGTGCTTTTATATTTTGTTGTTAGCGCTGGAATGAATCTTTGCACCAACATTTCGAATGTTCTTGTTTCTACGGTTTATCACGTCACAATTTGATGGTGGAAACAGATTTGTCCAAAAACTCTCCGCACTGGCCAGTTTCTAACAATTTGAAGGATTTGACAAAATTCCACATGCTATTGTCATCATATGGGCAGTTAAACAAGTATCTATACTCGTTTGAAACATAAAGAAGACTATATCGATATACTATATACGATAACGCTAAAAATGTTGAAATGTGTGGTGATTCTTGTTCTTGCACCTTTTTTACATTTTAACATAACCACAAAGTGAACTTCGAGGAAAGGACAATTTTGTTAGCCCATTTTATTTGCACTTCGGCCAGAATATTTGGATACTTGAACGAGGTATTAATGCTATAACTTAGTTGAATAAAGTTAAAATGAGTTGAATTGCCATGATACCTGCAAATGTTCTGTATGCATTTGCAATATATAGAAACATTAGCTTTGAGCAAGTGAAAATATTATCGCCCATGGGCCAATAAAATCAGCTGTGAAATCAGCCACTATTCAACAGAAGTTACAACGAGTTGAATGTTTAATCATGACACTTATAGTCACACTTTTATACATTTGCGTTTTGAGCAAGAGTAAATATTCTCGTATATGGACGATAATTGTTAGTTAGCAGAGCATGAGTAAATATACTCGCCGATGGGTGAGGTAGTTTAAGTTTATTTTTATTTTTTTGTTCATCCCCATAACAATGCATATCAAAGTTTGGCAAATACTTTTCCAGGAACTGGACACAGTGCGGAAAGTTTCTGGACAAATAGATTCCCATTCCCAGTTAATTGTATACCCTTTAGTCGAACAGTACGTTAGTTACATGTGTTTTCTTGAATACTTCGAGCGTTCTAAATCATCAATATTTCGAATGAATTTGTTTCGATAACGCTTTGGTCGGTCGCTTCACCTACTTGTTTTTATTGCAGTGAACGCTGGAATCGATCGTTGCACCTACGTGATGTTTGAGAAGAAACGGTACGGCATCAGTACCGGGGTCGCAGGCCGCCTGTTCGACTTGGTCGACGTCAACAATGACCTCATGATCAGCACTGCGGACCAGGATGTGGCTTCCTTCAACTCGCTTGACAAAGATGGTGGGTAGTGAATCAAGGAAGATGAATAGTTTGCCATAGACTATTTGATTGCTCACGGGTACCAATTTACGTTTCTGAAGTTTGGATTTATTTTAATACCATAACCACGCTCCTGGATTTCACTAAAGTGGGAAACTCGTCTAAAGCCTTCAGTTCTTTGTGATGTTAACTGCAATTGTGCTCAATGCCATGGTCAACCTAATTCGCACACACTCTCATATCATTTATGATTTTAAGCCGTCCGCTTTAAATTACTTTGCACAGAAGGTCCTTTTTTTTTTAAATAGTTGCTCATGAGCAACACGCCAACCTGTGTTTTTTCCAAATTGGAATGTACCGTAACAATTGTTACTTCTTAAGATGTCCTCAAAAACAGAAAGGCATTTAAGGGCAAGCTGGAAACCTAACCACAAAACAGAACGAAACGAAACGAAACAAAACAAAACAATAAAGCCTAGAACAAAGCCAGTTGCTCAAGTTCGGCACAAGCGTTCAGGACACAAATTAGACTGGAGTGGCACGCGAGATAGGTAACAACTAATAAACTGTTGTTTGTCTGCAGTTGATGGCCGGATTTCTGTGTGTGAAGTTTTCAAGGGCTTCATGTCCAGGCTGGCAGACGTGGAGCACAAGGCCTACGTTGCAGAGGTATTGCACGACTCATGAGCAATATTTAACCTAGTTGTGAAATCATAGCCATGTAAGGTCCGCTTTACTCGTCCACGTCCACTGTTAGCTAATACAGCTCGGGCACATGACTTTGTATTAAGTTGTATTAAAGTTCAGTGGTGATGTCTGCCATAGATTAAGTTCTGGAATGTCGCAGAGTGAATGAGTGAGAGAGTTAGTGAATGAGTGAATGGGTGACTGGATGGGTGGGTGAGTGGATTTTGAGTGAGTGAGTGAGTGAGTGAGTGAGTGAGTGAGTGAGTGAATGGTTCAGCCGCTCTGTTCAACACCCACCCCCCAGAAAAAATAAACTCGACCCGTTAGTGTTTACAGGTTCATAAATCTTATAATTACAGAGTTGCCAGGAAAATGTCCCAAAAAGACTAATAGTTTGGGGAACAAAGGGGTACACACACGTCACAGGTTTAGGTAGTTTGTACCTGTTGACAGAACTTGTGACTCTCAGTCCCAAAACAATTATGAAGACGTGAATCACAGCTGGTTGTTAGCGATCAATCGATGTCGTGCAATATGAGCGGATCAGCTGCGATTAGCAATTCAACTTTGGTGCAAATATGTTTTTATTTCCAAAGAAATCTGGATCGGTTAAAAAGGAAAACTTGCTTATGTAAATACCTCTCCAGGTAATGCGTTGATACGGTTGGAAATACCTTTTACAAGGTAGAGCCAAATAAACTGTGTAATTTCACACACGGAATATACAAAGTCAGTATTCTGGTGTCTGTGGAAAAGTACGATAATGCACTTATCTTTTCTACATGAATTTAAACTTGCTCAAATCTTTTACTTGTAACGATAAAGTCGTGAAACTAATTGAAGGAGGCCCATGTTTGTGGAACTGCTGACTGAACTATGGCCATAAAGTACTGATGTCAGGTCATACTGATGTATGTAAAAGTACATAGTGTTTTTTGATATTATCGCAGGTGGCAGGTAAAAAGATGAGTTGTAGGATACAATTTAACTTTAACCATGAACCTTGTTTTCCTTCAAAAACTAAAACCAAATAACAACCCCAAAACATTTGACAAATGAAGCCGTGGCTCTGCATTGTCAGTGTGGTTATATAACTTCAGGGGAAGGTTAGCTTTTACGCTCCGACAAGAAGTCATCTGACGGATAAAGATGATATTAGGTACAACAAGTAAACATTGCGTGCTTTGAATGCATGTGTCGGCACAGGGCAGTCATCGACTACACTACAATTTCGCTTACAACGTCCAATGGGATCCGGGGCGGTGGGGTAGCCTAGTGGTTAAAGCGTTCGCTCGTGATATTGCTGGAATATTGCTAAAAGCGGCGTAAAACTAAACTCACTCACCCACTCCAATGGAATCTGCATAGTAGTCGAGACTGGTTATTCTCTGGCTGTGACGTCTGTATGTTTTTAAAATAGAACAATAGTGTTCTCAAGTAACAGCTATTCATTCAGGGAATATGGCACAAGAGTTATACACATTGTATGTAATAGTATGATTAACAAGTGCATATTTATAACGATAATAAGATTTTCTGCCCATTGTATGTGTCCGATATGCCGGGGCGGTGGGGTAGCCTAGTGGTTAAAACGTTCGCTCATCACGCTGAAGACCCGGGCTCGATTCCCCACATGGGTACAATGTGTGAAGCCGATTTCTGGTGTCCCCCGCCGTGATATTACTGGAATATTACTGAAAGCGCCGTAAACACAACTCACTCACTCACTCTCTGATATGTCCGGATATTTCCATAGTGAGTGTAATACTGAATAACGGTTAGTGAATCAGTTGATTTTGTAAAACTGTTGACTAATCTTTTGTTTTTCTGTTTGTTCAGCTGAAGTATTCGAACCTCGTCTACCAGTTCAGAAAACCCTCTCCTTGGTTTTCCTGGTAGTGAGCCTCCTAAACCGCCATGTTTGTCATGGCAACAGAGAGGGGAGACGGTTGCCTGACAACAAGGACGATAATCGTGATGCTTTGTTAATAAAGCGATACATACTTTAATTATCATGTTTGTTGTTTGATCGTCATATTTCCTTGGTGGATATTTGAAGGGTGACTCAGTTGTCAAAGAGTTGCAGTTCACGCTCCAGCATTTGTCACCCGTGAAGATCCGAGTTAGAATTGATCTTCAGTAACCCATGTTTGTCGTAAGAGGCGACTAACGGGATCGGGTGGGCAGGTTTGCTGACTTGGTTGACACATGTCATCGTATCCCAATGCCCATGCTGTTGATCACAGGAGTGTCTGGTCCAGACTCGATTATTTACAGACCGCCGCCATAAAGCTGGAATATTGCTGAGTGCGGCGTAAAACTAAACTCACTCTCTCACTCCAGGATTTGCCGGCGCCGTTAAATATGTGTAATGTTTTGCATAGACATTATATTCTATAAACAATTGTTGAAAGTCTTTCTCAAGAATTAGTAAAATTGAAGATCTCCGATACGGTTATGTTTTATAGTGTACCAAAGAAGCTCGCAACTTGGGCGTGACATTTGACAGCAGCCCCAGTCTTGAGTCTCATGTTAATACCATCTGCAGGCGAGCCTATTTCCACATCTGAAATATTGGGCTAATAAGGCGGTACCTCGACCAGCATTCAACCATCTCACTTGTCCAGGCTCACGTAACATCCCGCCTGGACTACTGCAACTCCCTCCTCTTCGGGCTTCCCAACCACCTGATCAAGAATCTGCAACAAGTGCAGAACACCGCAGCAAGAGTTGTCTGCAGGAAGAGGAAATTCGACCACATACAACCAGTCCTGCAGGATCTACACTGGCTGCCAGTGCGCTACCGGATACAGTACAAGATACTTGTACTGGTGTTCCTGTCCCTCCATAACAAAGCACCAGATTACCTCAGATGTCTGCTGACCAGATACCACCCACCTAGGACACTGCGCTCATGTGACAAGTCTCTCCTAACTGTACCCTCCTCCCGTACAAAAACGTTTGGCGACCGCTCTTTTGAACGTGCAGGACCCCTTCTCTGGAACAGTCTCCCACTTGACATAAGAACCGATCAAACATTGTCCACGTTCAAATCTAAGGTCAAAACTTTCTTCTTCAATATGGCATTTCAGTGACCCTTTTTCAATTATCTCAGACACTAGCGCTTTTGAGCAGCTTACGCTGGATACTAGCGCTTTACAAATGTTTGTATGTATGTATGTATGTATGTATGTAAACACATTTTATTCAAAACAAATTGAATGAGCCGTAATGGCTTATTTGAATACCTCTCTGTTACATTAATGCGGGAATGCAACAAATATTAAATAATATACAGGACGATATTTTAGGTTATGTTTTAGAAAGGTAACTATTTTACGAAGCTGTAGCTTATGAAATAAGCATACAAAGTTGTTTTCGCCCGAGTATGTTAATCGGGCTTTAGATGACATCACTAATTTGATGCACTCTGTCAAATTACCTTACTAACCTTTCAAAGTACTCCTAAACACATTAACTTGTAAAAGGAAGTGGGCAATGGGCAGTTGATGGGTTTGAGGCCGTAGTGAAAGGCACTTAGAATAATGTTATGTAAAACCTGTATATTCAGCATTGCATTATTTGTAGATTTTTCAAAAGCTTTGGCTTCTATTTAATACCCACGGTCTCAGTGGTAAAATGAGTAAACTTTTATGCAATATGTATGCAAATGTTAAGGCTTGTATTCAGAAACATTCGACTTGCAACTTGGTGTGAGACAAGGCTGTATACAAAGCCCATTTCTATTTTCTTTTTGTATAAATGAGTTAGCACGACAAATCGAAACTAATTGTGTACACGGGATTCAACTCCACCCTGATATAGTTCATATTTTCCCATTGCTATTTGCAGATGACATTGTTTTGTTCTCAAGCACGATTAATGGCTTACAGAATCAAATTAATGAACTTGAAAGTTACTGCGATAAATGGAAATTAACTGTAAATAGAGAAAAAACGAAAAAATTTTGTATTCAAAAATGGAGGCAAATTGTCAAAAAAAGAAAAACTGGTTATATAAAGGTATGAAGCTGGAGTGTATTGGCTTTTATAAATATTTGGGACTATATTTCACCAGTGGCCTTTCATGGACGAGGCATGTAAAATATGCAGCGTTACAGGGACAAAAAGCATTAATTGGAATAATGAAACAGTTGAGTGTACTTGGTAATATTAACTACTCTTCACTCTGTAAAATATTTGATGCCAAAGTCAAATGGGGCCGAAATTTGGGGAATAACAAAATTTGACGAAATTGAAAAAATCCATTTATACGCATGCAAAAATTTCCTCGGAGTTAAAATTAACACTATTAACGCAGTGATTTATGGTGAATGCGGTAGGTACCCAATGCACATTCTTACAAGCATTAAAGTTATTAAGTACTGGCTAAAACTGTTGATTATGCCTTCAAATCGCTTACCCAAGAAGTGTTATAATATGATGTTGGACAAAAAAACTGGGCAACCAATGTAAACAACTTTTTATATTCTATTGGTTTTGGAATTACATGGAATACACAATATGTCGAATCACCTACGTTATTCAAACAATCCTTAACGACAAGACTAAACGATATGTATATTCAAACATGGTGTGAAAGGATATCCTTATCAAATAAATGTATGTATTATTCATTGTTTACAAATGCCATAGTTCTTGAGTCATATCTATCCTGTGTTAATGTTAAAAAGTTTAAAATAGCACTGGCACGATTCAGATGCTTTTCTCATGATTTGTTGATTGAAAGAGGCAGATATATGAATGTAAAAAGAGAAAATAGAATATGTACACTTTGTAATTTTAACGAAATAGAAGATGAATTACATTTTCTCCTAATATGTCCATTTTTTGACCGGTTGCGAACAAAATATATTAAAAGATATAACTATGTCCATCCGAATTTGAAAAAATTCTCCTCACTGTTAAGTAGTAAAAATCCAGTTCTTCTACAAAATATTTCAATGTTCATTTACTATGCTATGATAACCCGATCTAAATTCCTCTCAAATGTAACATAACTTTATGTACTATAGGCCTGTGGCCTTCTCAGTGCAAATAAAGATTATTATTATATTATTATAAGCATTGCCTCGTTTTCTGTCTTCAGTAAGGCCGTTCGTATGTGAGTGGTATCTCTCGATAAGGTCAGCATTATTTTGAGTTTGACTTCACTTAACTAACAAGTTTCCAGAATCTTCAGTAATTGGTTGATATGTCAAGTCATCTTGAGTACTGGTCAATATATCAAGTCATCTCAAGTACTGGTCAATATATCAAGTCATCTTTAGTACTGGTCAATCCATTAAGTCATCCACGAAGTTATGCATCTGAACCGAACCGAATTAGAAAACCCATGCACGCAGTCATGAGTCGTCGCTTGTTCAAGTGTCACAGCCTAGATATGTACTCAGGAACATTGACACCACTCTGCAGTCGTGACTGACCTATATCTTGACACCGCACCCCACATGAAAAGACTTGATGGGTATATGTTTGCTTCCACCCTGAGAACATTTGTTGAGAGGGCGTCATGGCCTTGAGAAGAGTTTGCCCACAACAAACAACAAACTACATTCATAAGCCTGAATATATCGGCAGCGTCCTGTCTGGGACATTGCGCAAGTAGTCGTGGTGTTGGTTTAGATTTGTACACAGCAACAATGACAAGGCGGCTTTTCTGTTTCGTGTGTGTTTAGTCTATTTAATTTTCTTAATAGTTGGAAACAACGCATTCCATCTGAAATCAGCTGCAACTGATGTTGACAGAATTGAACGTATATGTGCTGAACACACCTGCCTACTCCCCATTGATAAGTGAATGGGTGCAGTTAAGTGCGGTATGTTAGTATTAAGTACAATCTTAACCACGTGGTTCAGGCAGTTAGTCCGCGTTCGATTCCACACATGTGTGCATTGTGTTAAATCCATTAATGGTGTCTCCTGCTCTGCTTTTTCTGGGGTGTTTCTAAAACCCTCAATCACATAGGGTTTAGTATATACTCACCGTGGACCGCCTCCGTGGTGTAGTGGTTAGAGCGTCCGCCTGGACAGCGGAAGGTCGCGGGTCCGATCCCCGACCGCGTCATACCAAAAGACGTTAAAATATGGTACTTGTTGGTCCCTGCCTGGCGCTCGGCATTAATTTCTTACAACAAGGACTGGTCGGCTCGGAGTCAGTATAATGTGTCTGAATGGGGTATTCATGCTTCACTGCGGCATGGTATCTCAGTGGTCTAGCACTATAAAACCAGCTTAAGTCTGGGCTAGTACAAGCAGCCGCATATACACATACACACGCATGCACGTCGTCATATGAGCGAAATATTCTCAAGCACGACGTTAAACCCAATTTCACCTCACCTCACCTATACTCACTGTGACGTTTCAACTATCGATCTGTAAAATATCAAGAACTGAAACCACTACCACTACCAATTTATAGACGAACAGATGTTTAAAGGATACGTTCGTTTGGTCGCCTATTTGAATACATGGTCGTCTGTATGACTATACACCTGCCTGTGTTACTGCAAAGAGGTCTGTATGACTATACAGTTGCCTGTGTTATTGCATAGAGGTCTGTATGACTATACAGTTGCCCGTGTTATTGCATAGAGGTCTGTATGACTATACAGTTGCCTGTGATGCTGCATAGACGTCTGTATGACTATACAGTTGTCCGTGTTATTGCATAGAGGTCTGTGTTACTGCATAGAGGTCTGTATGACTATACAGTTGCCCGTGTTATTGCATAGAGGTCTGTATGACTATACAGTTGCCTGTGATGCTGCATAGAGGTCTGTATGACTGTACAGTTGCCCGTGTTATTGCATACTGAGTTGCCCTGTAGAGGTCTGTATGACTATACAGTTGCCTGTGTTACTGCATAGAGGTCTGTATGACTATACAGTTGCCTGTGTTACTGCATAGAGGTCTGTATGACTATACAGTTGCCCGTGTTATTGCATAGAGGTCTGTATGACTATACAGTTGCCTGTGTTACTGCA